GAACGTCAAAGGTGAAGTCAAACGCGCGATAAAGACCACCTTTGCGCAGCTTTGTACGCCTTTGACGCGCGACAAATGTTAAACTTTGCCCGCGGTGTCAGGCGAGTCTTCAGGCGATAAAAGCGGTTTTTGTAACGCCTTTAACCCTTACCTTTGACGCGCGTCAAAGGTATATTTGATTAGCATCGTCAAATATGTCTGAGATTTGGGCCAAAGGTGCGGCAAAAAGCGCGGCAAAGTTATTATGTCTGAGATTAAAGTCAAAGGATTGCCAAAGGTCTGGTCAAACGGCGTTCACCTGAAGCTTAGGTCAAAGCTGCGGCGAAGGTGTCGTCAAATATGACTGGAATTCAAGTCAAAAGTTTAAATAAGGGGCTGCCAAATATGTTTGTTTTTTTCGTCCCCTCGCATCCCGCTACTCCCTCGTCTCGTGTTTTGCGTGAATTCCGCATTCGCCTCGCGCTTCGCGCGAATGTGGCGTTTTTGCCTCGCTTGGCTCATAAGCGCTTGATATACAGGCTAGACCCCAACTTGAGGTTTCAGTCAAATTCAATTGCGGCTTGGATACCGTGTAAAAAGGTGAGCAGATAAGAGACTGAGTTCTTAATCTTGTAATTTATTGTCGTAAACCTCATTAGATTAGAAAGCTGAATAATGCCGATTAAAACTTTTTTAAACGCATACATAAAAATGATTTTTAAAAACCTTTTTACGATTTATTGTCTAAAGTACTTAATGCAGTCAATGGACAATCAAAATGACTGCGGGAAATTTTTAAAGCGCTATAACTGTTACATAAACGCTTTTGTGACGCACGGCAACCTGACAAATAGTTTAAAACACTTCTTTCACGAAAGTCAGAGCTGAAATCATGGTAAGTATGGGTTACTTTTGATTAGACTTAAGATTATTATTAGCTAGCAACTCTATTAAAGATGTGTTTCAAGCTATTTTTCTTTACCAATGTAATCAAATACGGGTTCCTCGCGAAAAACCCTCCAAACAGTATTTTCTCTTGAAAGAGTAAACAATGAAAAATCAGCCAATTCAACAGCAAATGCAAAAAATTATGGGTAAATAACACTAAAAAACTTGATCAACGTTTTTGAAAACAGTAGAACCAGAAGATCAGGAACCAAAAATGAAGAACAATAATGTAATCTTCTCTACTGGATCAGAGTTATATGCTCTCTTCTTTTCTCCTTATTATTTCTTTCATCATCACCCTTCTGCAAAAAAAAAAAAAAGAAAATGAAAAATTTGGAAATTTCGGTTGGAAGTTAGATGAAGAAGATAAGAGAGGCGTATGTTATGGGGAGGTAGTAGCCTGCGCGTCTGACGTGAAGGAACGGAAAAAGGGAGTGGGGATGGGGAGAGAAGGAAAGGGACTCCTCTTCTCATTCTCATATCGCGAAATTGCCCTAACCCTGCCCTCCCAATTTTTCTGCCTGCCACTGACTCAGGCTAAGGAGTTGGATATGTCGTGTGATACCATCGCTACAACATTTTCTTAAATTATTTTTATATAGTATATTAATACGTGACTTTCCAAAACATATCGATAAAACATATTTACAAAAAAGCAAAGAATTGAAGGTACACTCTGTTAATGAGTTTGTACATGGTTTGGTTTGAAAATAGTCATCGAGGAAAGGTTATTTCAGCAATGAGTCGGGTGCACTATAATGGCCGTTTCGTTGTGGAATTGAACTGCGTAGAGAGATGCTGGCCGTTTCAGTACCAAAAGGTCAGGCTGTTATATGGAATTATTTGATACAGGGCAGTTTAGAATTGAAAGAAGTAAGAATTCGCTTCAAATAAGAAGAAAAGCGTCATAATCGTGAAAATATTGCTAGCAAAAAATAATTCTACATCAATTAAAATAAGTGAATATATATCAACTTACTTTCCTTCCGCACCTTTTCTTTTATCGAAGACCAGCAGTCAGGTTTAGCAGCGTTAAAACAACGCAGTAAAGTAGACCCCCTGATTATTGGATAAACAGACGATATATTATTATATTGTGCCATTATGTAAAATAACAAGTTTGAGTGCTGGCAGACCTTTGGCCAGGAACACACTACGATTTCGGAACCCGTTTTTTTTTTTGTTAACCCGTTGTTTACCCGTTTTTGCATAGAAAACACGAACAAAAAAATCGACCGACTTTAAAGTTTGGCCTACTACGAGAACACGCGAAAATATGAGCGCGTGACGGTGGCGTTTTTATTAGGCTGATTTAGCAACATAACGGGAACGTCTGTTGATGACTGCGCGCGCAAATCAAACAACTGGCTTGACCAATGGCAGAGCGGCAAATTGGGTACCGGAAGTCGAGTTTAGCCCTGTCCGCGCGCTTTCCCGTCGTCAAATGACGTTCCCGTTCTGTTGCTAAATCAGCCTATTTTCGTGTTCGCGCTTTGCAATTGTCGATTTCGCGGACCCGACTATCTAGGAGCCTGGAACGGGCTAGACCACTTATTAAGGCTGTGTTCATGCTATAGCGCAAAACTTTTCGTACCGACACGAAAAGCTATCCAGTATGTCATAAACTTCTATACGATATGTGACTCTCCACCTCAGAAATTCACTCGGTTATAGAAATCACTTTGAAATCACTGTTATTATGTGTGAATAGTAGCCCTGTTTGGTATGATTTTCGTGCCGCTGCGAAAGCTATCTGGAGTAGTGTGAACATTGCCTAAGAAAATACCATCTCTGCCATCTGCAGCAGTCCTCGCTTAAAGTTTACGTATTGAGGGCAACCGAGAAGCCCTGGGGTCGAGGTTGCGTTTTTTTGGTAGGGCAATACAAAATGGCGGAACATTTCAAAGTCACGTTTTGCGAAGAAGGAATGGCCTATTAAACTGCTGCCTAAAAACATAGAAAGAACAGAAACAATACAACTCGACGGACATCTGCTATTTGTAGAATGTAAGCAGAACAAAACCCCTTTTTATCTCCTGAACTTTTTAAAAAACAGCCAAGTTGGAAGACGGGAACTTAATAACATCAATCAGGGCAGGCATGCTTTAGTTTTTTTTAAAACTAGGAATTGTTTTGAATGAATAATGAAACAATTATCACTCTTTGCAGTTTAAACTTAAAACGTGCTTCTTCCGACAGGTTTTTTCCAGACACATTAGAAGAGACTTTCTTTATCGTACTTTGAAGCTGACTGAAGTCTATTGTATTCTTCTGCACCCTAGTCCTAAATTATTTCAATCAATGACCAGATCAAGGGAGGACCTCCTTGTACAAACCTTTGGCTGTTTGCGGTCTCCTCATCACTCACTGTTTCACTATTTTTTTCACTTTCCTTATGACCTGTTTTATGAAAGTGTTCTTGTTCAACTTAAACTGTGCATGTATTGTTACATTATTGGTATTGTTATTCAAGATTAATTAAGATATTATGTATTGTTATTATGGTACTATGAATTTTATCTCAAATTGAATCTAATGATGTAATCTTAGAAAGAAGCGGTGGTGTAAATAAATAAATGAAATAAATTAATTAACGTGAAGCCTAAAATCTGATATGGCTAGTAATTTACCCGAGACGGGTCACACAAAAAAGGAAAAATTAAAGTAAAAGTACCAAGTGTAACTGTAACATGTTTAAATTGAATACATACCATCTGTGGTGGCTGCTTTTGATCGGACAGCACCTTGAAAAAAGGAATGGCAGATTATTAATTTTCAAGATACGTTTGGCATTCGTGGTATTGCTCTTCTACCACAATGAACGTCCCAGTTATGAATTTTTGATTACACCTATCATGCTCCAAAATAACCAGGTAAAAGCTAGGTAAACCTCAGTAATGTGATAAACTGAGGTTGGCCGGTGTATCTATTCTGGACATTCTTGTAAGATATATACAGTGAAACCTCTATTAAGCGGACACCTTCGTAACCTTCCCAAGTGTCCGCTTAATAGAGGGCGTCCGCTTAATACAGTGTAGAGGTTTATAAAAATTGCGCAATGTTTGTTAACGATTAACTTCCAACGGTTATTCTGTACTCTGATAAAGTTCCATGTTGTTAAGGAAGCTAAGGAACCTGTGCTGTACTTTCTGAAAGACCTTGAGGTGAGACCTTGAGGTGATCGCAGATGACAATCATACGGCCGGATATCGGTCTTTACTTCATGACGTTGCCACCTATGCTAATGAGCTCAATCTTTTTGTGGCCATTTTGTCTTTGGACCGAGAGAAGGCCATCGACCGCGTCGATTGGTCCTTGCTTTTACGTACCCTTTTGTCTATGGGCTTTAGCCCCTCTCTTATTAGCTGGGTTAAACTTCTGAGTTAAACTCTTGCGTGAGTTGAACACCGCTTTGTTGAACTTTTCCTGGGGAGGTAAGAAGGATCTGGTCGCTTTTGATGCTGTGATTCATCATCGTGAGGATGGTGGTTTTGGTGTCGTTTCCATCTCCTGAAAAGTCTATGCCCTCCTTGCACAGTGGATCAAGCGTCTGTGTGTTTCTCCTGGTTTCTTTGTTAAACTTCTGGTGTTTCAACCGTTTTGGCGTAGATACCGTGTTTGTTTTCCACACCTTTATCCCTTGTCTACCCGGCTTTTGCCGCCTTTCTATGCTTCCTTGCTCGATTCTTAAAACGTCTTGAAAAAATGCTCGAGAAGGTTCGGGCCAGTCTGTTACCCCCGTTGGGCAAGCAATTGCTTTTTGAGGGGGGCTGTCGTGTTAGCTTGTTGCGCAAGCACATGGCTATTGGCTGGTATGCATTTGGTGTATCCTGGTTAAATTCCAGGGTGGTGGGGATGGTCTAAAGAGCCTGGTTTGTACTAGACTGTGGCTGTACTGAAATTTCGACCGCGGCTTACCCCTATTTCCCTGGGCCCAGTGTCTCTGTCCAGGTGGGTGTCAGCTGGTTGCACAGGCACAGGGCTTTCAACTGGTATGTATTTGGGTTAGCCTGACCTCTTTTCTTCGAGAAATGGTGTTTTGGATTGTATTTGAGAGACCAATGGCAGTGGGGAAATTGGGGAAATGGCTTTGCAATCGGTGACGCTGAAAATGAAACAAATCCTTAAAATTTCCTATTTTTCAGCCTAATGAAGAAAGCTTTGCATACATGCATGGTGCCTACAATATTTTCTTCCTGGTTAGATTTTGCCTTTCCAGTAAAAAGGGCTATTAAATAAACAATCACTGGGAGAGAGACTGACATTTTTTAGTAGCCCGGTTTAAAAAAAAAAACACAAAAAAAACAGGTAAGGAATTTTCCCTTACCTTTAGTGTACATAATAGTTACATTGACCTGCTGCGGTCCTTTCATCGTCACGGACCTCTGAGAACTTGAGAAAATGACTTGAAAGGTTTTGTTGCCTTCAAAGCTGTTATCCATGTTAATGATACCAATTTTAACTTCCTTGTAAATCTCTCCCGGAGCAAATGCCAGTTGCTCCCCAGCAGCAACCTTGTAGTGCTTGTTTGGTTCCGCTGTCAAGCTTTTCATATCATAGCTTAAGAAAATACAACACAGACAATAGGTGTCACTATTAATTCAACGAAAAAATTCTGTTTCTGATTGGCACAAATCCCCCGACTGATTCTTCACAATCAGTCAACGTTGACTTAATTTTTGAAGGCGTTTGCAATATCCGATAAAATGACATCAATGCTACAGGGTAATTGCAAGAAAAAGGCACGGCAACCTAGAAGCTCTATGAGGAAGTTGCGCTAGCTTGGCTGTCTTGGTGTACGTAGTGCTTGAGAAAATAGCGGAAAATTTCACACATTTTGCGAAGAAGATAGCAGAACTAATGCCTAAAAACATGGCGAAAAACAGCAAAGATATAACTCAACGTATGCAACTGATTTTTGAGCAACATCGGCTGGAGTAGACAATCTCTTTAAATCCGTAATTTGCCAAGAAGGTAACTTTACATCGCTCGAGGTAAGAATATAAGTTTGTTTCTAATGTATGAATTATTGTGAATCTATAGCAGGGAGTTATTCGCCGAGGCCGACGAATAACTGGTCCCTACGAACTGGATAAGTCTTCGGATCATACTCAGTCTCATACAATAATGCTATGAACTCTTAAATTTAAACTTGTCAACCCTCCGTGGGGTAACACGTACATCCTGACCAAATGGGCACCATGCGTATGTACTGCCGTACCAAGGACAGCAAAACACTGAAAACGTTTTAAGGAGTCCCGTCTGACAACGTTCTCATCCATATCAAGCATAAAATCAAACAATTCCAATTTCAGCACTGTAGCACACGTATCAACTCCGCGATATGGCCCGAGTACCTTACGCATGCGCACAACCATATCACCCAGGCAGTGGCAGCCATGGACAGCTGTTTCGTCCTCATTAGGACTCATTAGCATAGCATAGCCCCAGACGAGAGGTCTCACTTATGATCATCCACCCCCCGGAGTTGGTACGTATTCTTCAGTGCTGAAATTGATAACACTGGTTGTCTTTACACTAGGCTGTTAAGTAAGACTTAAGAGCCGCTAAGTTTTGCTTAACCAAAAATTCGTGTGAAGGCCTAAGTAAAATCTCAAGTAACTTTGCTTTGCATCTCATTAAAGTCGGAAAGTTGAAACGATTCAAGAAAGTTTCAAGCGACTTGAAAACCATCCTTATGACCGACTTAGCTGACTTGAGGTTTTGCGGTTTCTTGAGCTTTGATAAAAGCGAGACATGTCAATCAATCTTAATTTTGTTGCGTGGGGAAATAACCTGAAGTAAAAAAGAACCGGTTGTGTGTGAAGCTTTAGTAAACTTGAGGTAATTAAAATTTATTTGTCTTGAAATATTTCTTAGCTTATTTATGCTCTAGTGTAAAGACTACCATTGATTAAAAACACCTCGGAGGACCGTCATTTTGAGACTGTTTAGTGATTATACCGGCTAGTTTTTAAAACACAACTCATGGACGCCGACAAAGTTAGCCTCGGACCCGGTTCGTTAGTGGGGAAAAAAGGCTCATTTGGTTTTTTTCCTCTACCAAAAAGCCTGGTTCGAGACCATAAAAAAGTCATTGCCATTTACAAACCACGAACTATACCATAATAAGAATTCACCTTCTTTTGGCATACCACATTAGGAGCTACATTCTTCTATTTTCCCCTTTTTTAGCGTGGACTGTTTCAGTACTTACTTCACTGCAGTAGCAATAGCAAGAAATCCCTGACGACGCATGCGTATCACTGCCATGCCAGCATCTGCTGGTATTATTATTTGAGCTTTCAGAATCTCAATTGTGACGTTCTTTGCCTCCATTGCTATTGGCGAAATAAATTGTAGTGAATACATCAATACATTCTACATTCTCTTGAATAGACCTCTAAGAATCGTTAGTCAAACCGATCGAGTCTAGCTTAGGCTAGCCCGCCTACAGCCTCCTCCTCCCCTCAAACATAATCAAGCAGAGAGACGTTTTAACTTTTTGTTTGAGAGGCGACGGCTGTACTCGGGCTAACTTAGGCAGCAGTTTGAGATTGCACTTTCAGATTTCTCCTTAAATTAATGAGTTGGTAACTTTAGGGAGATAAATGCTCTATATTATGCTTTTTGAGTGACATGACATCTAACAAATGTGCTGTTATTGAACTTCTAGCGTGGTTATATTGAACTATTGTGTTTTCATTGAACTGCAGAGCGGGAAGCCGCGGACTTAATCCCCGTAGCCAGAGAAAACTCATGATGTTAGTCAAACAATGCAGAATATTTTAACGGCGACTGTTGAATTCTAAGACCAAACAAAAGTTTGCGGACCTCTACGGAAACTAATTTCCGATTAATTTCAAGTGTTTCATTTGTCTAAAAATAACTTTGGTGAAATTCACATTTCCTAAGGGCTAGAATGGGCGTTTCTTTCTCTGTCCATTTATTCTGTCTTGCTTAAAACAATTACCCTGCAAAAGGATTTAAGTTATACTTCATTTAATAACCAACCCTTTATCATACCTTCTTTAAAACTCCTGTTCCCAAGTTCTTGAATTTCTTCTACACTCAGCTTAATTCCAATAAAGTTTAGGTTGCTTATAAAGAACCCTTTTGTGTTGGATGTGGAGCCAAGCTTCAGACGCGTGTTCCGGTCTTGATCCACATAGCTTTGTCCCGATGCCATCAGATTGTCTACTAGCGTGCCATTATAATTTTGGTAGAGGACTACGTTGGTTATTATTCCGTAATCAAAAGTAAAAACTATTTGAATCCAAGAATTGAGAGCCGCCAGATCGCTGCCCGCGCCATTACCGGTGACTGTCGCTTCAGCACTGCCAGAATAGGGAGAAATCTCAAATGACCAGCCATACTCGTACTCATCTGTTTGGTCATCAGCACGCAAGCCCGAATCCAGGACCTTTAGATCTTTATCGGCTCCAGTTTTAAATAGAAATGACACAGTAAAATTCTGACAGAGATATGGATTACTGATGCACGTACCAGCAAAGTCACCAAGGTCGACCTCTTCTCCTGCGGGCACAAACAGAGCCTGGATTCCATCTTCCACCTGAGTTCTGACGCCATTTGGGATTTTCTCGCTTTTGAAAGATTTGTTGGATGCTTGGTCGTAACCATACAATGCCTGGTTAGCAATTGGATAAAAAGGCCAGGAGTAATTAGCTGTTGAATGATGAAAACAATCTAGTCAGTGGGTTAGTCAATCTGGTCAGTCACTTATTTCAGTTCAGAAACATTTATCTTTTAATGTCCCCTATTAGAACTGTTAGAGGGTCTCTTTAGGCCAGCTAGAAGACTTGGCACTTTAAGAAGCGTCCTTTTTCGCTATGGATCTTGACAAATCACTTGTAAATGACAAGAGAGTGTGAATGACAAAATTACGGCTTCGTGTAGAAAAAATATGCCTTTCTCCCAAAAACTAACAGGCAACGACAATTACCTTTCAAAAATATTTACGCCAACAAGTTTTCAAAAAACACAATTGTAATCCGTGTTAATCTTCTTCAAGTTTGTTCATCCGGTTTCCGTCTATCTATGTTTGCTGTGTAATTATACCTTGTTTCAACGTTTAAGCAGTTATTTTTACTGATGTTACAATCAGGTTGGCGACTGTTGCGGGTTCCCACGGTTTGAATTTTGATAAGTTTCGAGACTCATCTCATTTAGGGTGATGTTACACGGGACGATTCGCAACGACGATATTTAGAGCAACACAGCGTTGCAATGCTGTAGCAATGTTTTAACCATTCGAAACATCGTCGCAACAATGTTTCCACGCTGTGTTGCGATAAAAATCGTCGTTGCGAATCGTCTCGTGAAACATCACCTTTAAATGAAGATTATTATGAATGTACAATAATAGGCTAACTGAGCATAAAAGACAGTCACCAGAAATAATTTTTTTATTATTAAAAAGAAAACGTATCGTTGCCTTATTTCGTGATTCATGCAACATTCAGAGGAAATGGATTCTTCCAGCATAATTTAAACGGAAAAAAATAGATCAACAGAACTACTTACAAAACATGTGGACAGATTAATCTAATAAGTCCTGATAAGTAGCGGTCAAAAACCCATTAGTAGTCTTCACTTCGCTGGCCCTGGCGTAGGTTATTATTTAGGATGATAAACTCATAAACTGGCCTACAGAACTTGCTATAACAAAATTGCTCGAGGCTTTCTACGATCGCCGAAAAAAAATCGTCTTAGAAATTAAATTTACCCTGTTGTTCTCTGTTACCTTTGCATAAAAGTATGTCTCGAACTACTGGCAAACAGACGTAACAACGCCCAACAACATCATTGGGAGTTGTTGCGTCCGTTTTCACGTAGCCAAAAGTTTGAACGGTTTCAAACTTTGGGCAACAACTCCCAACAACACTCAACAACGTGCAACAGGGCCGTGCGAACGGACCCAACATGTAACATTCAACAATATTGGGAGTTGTTGGCCAGCAATGTTTTCGTCCGTTTGTACGGGGCATACTGTAAGGGCTAAGATGGAAGCTGTTGTCTCACGTGAAAATCCTGAAAAGCAAACCCCGTGACAACGAAAACGCATTCTTTTGAAAACGCATTAGTGAGGACAGGGCGTTAAAGCTTTAACAACAAAGAACGCGTTCTACTTGATTTACATTAATCATATTACATCATGAAAAAATACCCCGGGGGGTACTCCATTATGTAAGCCCGATATAGGTTTGTGCCGCCCCAAAGGGTATGATTTTTACGCCGTTTTGGTCTGAAAACGAGTACAGACTTCGTCCATTTTGGTCTAGAATTAGTTATGGTTTTCGAGGAAACTATAGGAGTGTATGAACGTATTTATCGTTTCAGTTCCAAATGAATAAGAAAGAAAGAGAAATACGCGAATTCGCAGTTAAAGAAATCTTTTTGTTGGCGTTCTTATCTCAGTAATTATGACATAATTTCAGGGCTGAAAACGGGTGTAAAACTATGACATTTTTCGGTCTGAATCGGGGTCAGGATTTGGAGAACTGTTCGGCACACCCTCACCAAGNAAAACGAGTACAGACTTCGTCCATTTTGGTCTAGAATTAGTTATGGTTTTCGAGGAAACTATAGGAGTGTATGAACGTATTTATCGTTTCAGTTCCAAATGAATAAGAAAGAAAGAGAAATACGCGAATTCGCAGTTAAAGAAATCTTTTTGTTGGCGTTCTTATCTCAGTAATTATGACATAATTTCAGGGCTGAAAACGGGTGTAAAACTATGACATTTTTCGGTCTGAATCGGGGTCAGGATTTGGAGAACTGTTCGGCACACCCTCACCAAGTTTTCCCAGGAGTACCTCCCCAAATACCTCAGTGATGATATAATGAATTAAAAGAACAAAAGATCGCGCAACACAATAAGCTACAATAGAACACCATACTTTGATAAAATAATAAAGGAAAATTGTGAATCACGAAATACACGAAAACCTCTCCTGCATGGAGACAGCATTGTAAATCTAATACGTATTTGACCAAAGAAAAACAAATTTAAATTCCCAAAAAATCTCATCAGATCTGTAACATCGCATTCCGAAAACTCAGAGCGCAAAGAATCAGAACTGTTTTCTATACGGTCACGCCACGGGTCCTATATGTAGGGATCAAAACCAGCGTGCACAAAATACAGTCGAACCTCTTCTGGTCGAACCTCTTGTAACATAATCGTTTACTAAATTGCCTCCCTATCACTATTCCGGCATAACGGCTAAAACTAAAGTGCTCAATACTTGTCAACTTTTTCGTTTCGTGCATTTAGCTTCTTTTCAATGTACTACAGTTGATTGTGTTACGTTCTTGCAAGCATTTTAGCTCATTTTGAATGTATAAAATGTAACCTTGTTCCCAGTTTTACAAAGTGGTCTGTCCTATTACATTACATCAATTCCTCCTCGACTCTCCTTCCACTGATAACCTTTGCAAAGACAGTGGCCGACAAAAAAGGTTCCTGCTCAGGCCCTAAGCCTTGGTGTGTGAGTGCGTGTCGATTTTCAGCTTTCAAGTAAGATATACAAAATATTTACATCGATATGCATATGTGATCGTGAAATGTAAATTGGGGCTCGTGTGTTATACTTTACCTGCATATGTTCCACCAATGAATAGAAGGGCGAAGAAAACCCTCATCTCTTTCCGCTATCCCCGCTAAACAGAGTACAAAAGAAAAAATAGCGCTAGAAATTCAAGCACGTGGAATTGTAATTGATCATCCTCAATGTGAGGTTTGTGGGCATATCGAACGGGGGGTGGGGGGTGGTGGAGGAAAGAGTCTGGGAACTTCCCTCAGTTGGCAAGATGATGGCAACAATGTTAGCATTAGGAAAAACTGTTTGAATGCAGAGGTCCACGCAACGCGTAAATATAACTGACTGGTTCCTCTTGCCGGATCTCTAATCAAAGAGATGCTGTAGCCAGACGTCGCTTAAAGTGTAAAATAAAAAAAAAACTGAATGTAGGGCTGGCACTACGTCAAAGGGCTGATTTATTATAGGCCTATAATAAATCAGCCCTTTGTCGTAATGCCAGCCCTGCATTCAGTTTTGTTTTAATATTAGCATTGTTGCTGTGAAGTTGCTGATATTTTACATATTTTGGAAAAAGTAACAGTTGATGAAATGTAAAGAAGCAAAGCTGTGTACTTAAATTAAGCCCTGCTTTGAATTTAGTAGTCAGAGCAATGATTTATACAAAAATCAGACTTTAATGAGACCGGCTGAACTGTATTGATTCAGGTAGCGTGCCAGCAGGCTATCCACCACAAGTGGCGAGAGAGCGCGCGAGTGAGTCGCGAAGCCGCGAGGGACGGAGGAAAAGGAGAGCTCTCCTTTCTTTCCCCAGACTACGAGCAGTCTCTCTTTTTCTCCTTTTTCTTGGTCCATCGAGCAAAACGTCCGAGACACGCAAATGACCACGCACGTGACTGAAGTTCCCCTCCTCGCGCACTTGTGTCTCCTTTCGCGTGCGGCTCTCAAGTGACTTCTCTCGACACCCCAAAGTGGAGAGCTTGCTCATAGGCAGGAGCCCATCATAGGCTATGCAACACCAGGAGCCCATCAAATTTGATGGGCTCCTGGCAAGACCGACTCCTAAGAAAGAAAGGAAAAAAAAGCTAGTTGGTTCTAACGAACGCCCAATGCGTCTTGCTAAAAAAGAAAAAAAAAACCAGAACATTAAAATATCATTTCTCGCTGAAACGGATGACCTAACATGACCTAAACTTCGAGCCAAGACCCGAACCAAGGGTCTTGGTCTTTTCCTTTTTGAAAGCCATTGCTCGAGGAACCGGGCCCATAAGGGTAAACCTTGACCAACAGCAATAAGGAGTTTTTAAACTCTCTATCTCTATTGCTGCTCTCTATCGTTTCTGAGAATTTCTCAAAATAGAAAATTACGTGAACTACCAATTTAAGTGTAGAAAATGATGAAAACTAAATGATTTTCCAGTAATCGGACACTTAGGTATCGCATTAATCACACAGAAACTTGAAATTTCAACGCACCAACATTAGTGACCTCCGTTTCTCATAAAATCACGGCAAAATGCGGCATTCTATGTCCAAAGACACTGCTTTTAACGGAGAAACAACTCCACACCATACATTTCTTTGTAGCGATTCGCAATGTTTGCCCCCTGGCGATCCCAGAATCCTGTGCCCAAAACATGGGTATCCGATTACTGGAAAATCATTCAAATGAGAACCTTGGTCACGTGGTACTATTTTCATTGCAGTTAGCCCCCCCTATAGCCGTAAGACCCTACTACGAAGTATCGAAGGTTGTATCGAGAAAACAGGAAGGTTAAACATGTTGGAGTCCGAGTGGTTTTTACTGACTAGCTACAGCGTCCCTCTGACCAGTGTGATAACGCTCGCAACTTTGGTCTTAACAACAGTGATCGTCTTCAGACTGTTTTCCAAAAGGCAAGTGAATGATTTTGGAAACAAATTCGTGGTGATTACGGGCTGCGACACTGGGTTCGGTCACGAAACAGCCATTCGCCTGGATAAGATGGGAGTTCATGTGTTGGCGACTTGTCTGACAAAGGAAGGGGAACAGAATTTGAAATCAGAGACGAGCGACAGGCTTAAAACCTTTCAGATGGATGTGACAAACTCGCAGCAAATCAAAGATATCTACGAGAAAGTAAAGGAAATTTTGCCGTTGGGACAAGGTGGGTCAGTAAGCGGCTGTAAGTTCTAGGACTTTGGGCACTCGATTTATGCAAACTTATGCTTACAGTTTGATTGTCCCGGCGTTACCACTCAAACCAAATCGAACGTTTTATTAATCGAACTTAATCGAACTCAGTCGAGTTTAATCGATTGATTACGTTTGATTAAGTTCGGTAATTAAACACAATCGAACTCTGATCTCACAAAAAAGTTTTATGGGGTGTTTACGTGAGAAACCTCGCACCGGCGCGAGTTTCATGCCGGGATGACTTTTTGATTTCGTAATCGAACCCAAGCGAACTTGAGCGAAGTGCGATTAGGTTCGATGGTTGAATCTGGCATACATTTGATTACAAATGGGACGTTATACAGGAACTATTAACACGGGACGAAAAAACGGATTTACCGAACGTCAAAGGTGAAGTCAAATGCGCGACAAAGACCACCTTTGCACACCTTTGTACACCTTTGACGCGAGACAAATGTTTACCTTTCAGGCGAGTCTTCAGGCGATAAAAGCCGTTTTTGTCACACCTTTAACCCTTACCCTTGACGCGCCTCAAAGGTATATTTGATTAGCATCGTCAAATATGTCAGAGATTCGAGGCAAAGGAGTGGCAAAAAGCGCGGCAAAGTTATGTCTGAGATTATTAAAAGTCAAAGGATTGCCAAAGGTTTGGTCAAACGGCGTTCGCCTGAAGCTTAGGTCAAAGCTGCGGCAAAGGTGTCATCAAATATGACTGACATTTAAGTCAAACGTTTAACAAAGGTGCTGCCAAATATGTTTGGTTTTTTTTTCCTCCCCTCGCATCCCGCTTCTCGCTCGTCTCGCCCTTCGCATGGATTCCGCGTTCGCCTCGCGCTTCGAGCGAATGCGGCGTTATTGCCTCGCTTGGCTCATAAGCGCTTGATATACAGGCTAGACCCCAACTTGAGGTTTCAGTCAAATTCAATTGCGGCTTGGATACCGTTTAAAAAGGTGGGCAGATAAGAGACTGAGTTCTTAATCTTGTAATTTATTGTCGTAAACCTCATTAGATTAGAAAGTTGAATAACGTCGATTAAAACTTTTTTAAACGCATACATAAAAATGATTTTTTAAAACCTTTTTACGATTTATTGTCCAAAGTACTCAATGCGTTCAATGCAGTCAATGGACAATCATAATGACTGCCGGAAATTTTTAAAGCACTATAACTGTTAGATAAACGCTTTTGTCATGGACGGCAACCTGAAAAATAGTTTAAAACACTTCTTTCAGGAAAGCCAGTGCTAAAATCATGGTAAGTATGGGTTACTTTTGATTAGACTTAAGATTATTATTAGCTAGCAACTCTATTAACGATGTGTTTCAAGCTACTTTTCTTGACCGATGTTAGCAATTATTGTGAAGAGAGAAAAATAAAGCTTTTAATTAACGTTTATATAAAAATATGAAGAAATTTAGGCAGCAACATTTTTGCTCTTTGCCAATTTTTTAGCAACTTTTCGGCATTCCAGTGAGGGAGAGGCCTAGTGGCACACACTTATTCGACATTTATGGAAGTGCCCAACCGGGGCAGTGAGGATCGTATTTAGAGAATGTGATCTGGAAAGTGTTAACAAAACTATCGCGGATGGCTTGAGGGTGGGTTAGGGTTAGCAAAAGTGGCCACCTGTTCGAAAGTGGGCTCTTTTTTAAGTAATAAGGATGACGTCTGTTATTTGTCCTTATCTTAGGTCTGTGGGGATTGGTTAACAATGCTGGCATTTATTTCACCGCACCAATAGAATGGACTCCGCTAACAAAATCTAAACGAGCTGCTGATGTTAATCTGTGGGGACTTATGGACGTCACGAAAACTTTTCTGCCTCTTGTCAAGAAAGCTAGCGGACGAGTTGTGAATTTATCGAGTGCCCTGGGTGAGTAAAAGCGTCTTTTTGCCGCGTCGTATCCGAACATCTTAGGTAGCTTTCCGCGTCCGTCTCAGGCGATCTCTCGAAGTGCCTACGGAGGAGCGTTAAACCATTACTCTGCGTTAAGAGCCGCCTGCCTGGATAGCAAGCGTTTTCGCGCGATGGTAATTAATAGCTGGACGAGAGTACAAGTGCTGGAAGTAAATTTTGTTCGAAATAAAACAAAATTCTTTATTATTATTTTTTTTGTAGGCCGTACTACCCTTCCGCAGTCAGCCAGCTATAGTATCACCAAATATGGCGTGGAAGCATTCTCAGATGCTCTGAGACGTGAAATGCGCCCTTGGGGAGTACAGGTCAGCATTATTGAACCAGGATTGTTCAAGACTCCATTGTCAGATGCAGAGCGCAATATACATTCATTACAGGAATTGTGGGATGCTCTTAGCCCGGATTTAAAACAGGAGTACGGAGAAAAGCGTCTAGAGAATAGTAAGATCATCCGCTACCATCTTTATTGATTATATAACTAAGGTATTTGCTGATTTTTGGAAACTAGGTTTTAACCCACACTTAGATTACTTGGCCCTTGAGCACATGAAATGCGTACACCTTTTCTGTGTGTTTAGATAACTCAGTTTGAACATTAAAAGACTAACTTCAAGCAGTTCGTGCTTTGTTGTGTTGAAGTACATACACGTTCTAGCTGAGTGAAGAACTCGAAATTCATTTAAATATTCTATTTTGTAACCATCCCTTGCGTGCACACCTGCAATGGACGGTGAAACTGACATCATCCTGGACGAGCATACAGAGCAGGGCGAGTTATTTTCTTGCGTATTTTTAGGCGTCCGAGGGAAGCGCGAGACGGGCGTGGGTCAACGTGGAGCACCAGAGGCGCGCGATGGAAGGGGGCCTGCGCGTCTGGCGTTCCACATCAGCCCACAACGGCCTCACGCTTATCCTCGGACGCCCGAACACGAAAAGAGAACGAAACCTGTTCTTGCGTTTACATGAGACTGGTCTGAAAATAAACTCAGGCCGGTCTGACTTGTGTGCGTGATTTCATGCTCATTTCAATACCATCTTCACTTATAGTGTTGATATGAAATAGGGATTGTGACAATCGCTGTCAAACGTAGATAAGTGAGCTCATGTTACTTTTCAATATAGATTTTCTACTGGGAGCGTTTTAGCGTGGTTGTGTGCTACAACAGTGAGACTGAATTGTGAGCAATTTCGTTGCAAGTGAGACATATTAAAAGGGAGAAAATGTATCGTAACAGGAGCCCATCACAGGCTCCTGATCGTAAACATTGTGAGTTCACTAATTTCCGAAAACATGATATGATCAGACGTTCTGGGGGGAGGGGAGAGGAGAGAGTGCGAAAGTGGGCGGAAAAAGGGAAGAAGGACCGCCTGATCGCAGGTTATGTCTGACGTTGCCTCGATCGTTGGCCCAAGATGAGTAGCTTCAGCACAGGGATGAGTTGGTACCGTTGTCGTGTACACGGAAATGAACCTCAGACCGGGTTCATAAATAACGTATACTTTCTTTTCGCTTCATTATTTTTGCTTTTTCAGAATTAGATTAATCAGTTATAAATTACTTGACTGTATGCTTGTATTGAGATACTGCACATTACAGGCCACCCAATGAGCGTTACTTTATCTTTTGACGATTTTTCTGTCGTCAGTCAATTCTACGGTTGTCCATTGGCTTAAATTTTGTGTGCTAGCTGGTAGTTAATTCTGAAGGTTATATTGCACCAAGATCTGCTGTCTTTGATCATTACCGGTCTCTTGTAATCGACCGATCATTGCACCCCGGTCTTATGTACAGTAAACTCAAGTTCATACTGGTGTAAGTTCGTCGCAGTCTCGTAGGGGGTACCCTTTTGACTGAACGAAAATCTATTCTAAGTTTTCATTATTTTCAACATTTTTTTTATTTCTTTACAGTTAAGAATGGCATGAGAATAGTGCTTGGCTCCCAGGCATGCGCAGACACATACAAAGTTGTAGACGCAATCGTCGACGCTCTGAAGTCACAAAGACCGCAAGCACGTTACGTCCTTGGATTTGATGCAAAACTGTACAACCTTATTTCGTTATTACCTACTTCTATAGGTGATCGTCTTTTGCCAAAATTTCTCTGAGCGAAATCAAACTCAAGCTTTCAATGCGAAGTCACCCTCTGAAGTTTTAACAGGTTTTAGGTAGCACCAAATCGGTGAAGATAAAGGACCTTCATCCTCTCTTGATTGATAACAACTAAGCCTTACTAACTTACTTGAAAAAGATCGTTTTTACATGACGTCACGGCAGCCATATTGGTATTCCTAAACGATGAAACGGCGGTCATGTTGATGTTCCAAGCCAGTCTTGTGGAAATTTAACTTTTATGTAAACTCTTTCTTTTGTTCTAATGAATTTACATTCATAGACGCCGGCTACGTGAGTGAAAACGCTCTACTGGTATCCCAAAACATAGCCTGCGTAGCAAGCGTTTAGCAAAGAAAGACCGAGGAACGACGATCAGTTTTGGCCGCGCGAAAAATGGAACGAGAGCCAAAAAATGAACGAAGGGGGAGGGGGAGAGATTCCTTCCTTTAATCCTCACCCCGTCCATGCTCTTTTACTCGCCCCATTTTTCGCGCGGTCTTTGACTTCTGTTCCTCGTTCTTTGTCCGGAAACCGCACGGAAACTCTTGCTATGCAGGCTACCCAAAACAATGAAATGGTGGCCATGTTGGAATCCCAGACCAATCCTGTGGGAGTTGAACCATTTTCTTATGTAACAACTTTTTTTTGTTCAAATAAATTTGCTTAACCTGCTGGCCACGTGACTGAAAATTCTCCTTAATAGACCTATTCATTCAAAATATTTCTCCGTTTCTGATTGGCTAAAAGCACACGGATAATTCATCATAACCAGCTACTGTTGACCAAATTTGGAAGAATTTGACGTCAAAAGTGTAGCAAAGTTGCAGATTGCTGAACTGTTAACCAAGAAGACCTGGGGAAGAGTTTGAGTTGTTTTCGAAGTGAGCAATGGCGGAACATTTTACTCATTTTAAGGCGAACTATTGTCTAAAAACATAGCCAAGAACAGCAAGAAGACAACTCGACGGACGACATCTGCTATTTGGAGTGTGTTTGCATACCTGAACAGTCCTTCATCTCCTAAACTTCCCTATAAAAATGGATCTATCTGCTATATGAAATTAACATCGACGGAAGTAAGCATGTTTTAGCTTGTTTTAAAACTTGGAATTATTTTTAGTGAATAATAAAGCAATTATTGAATTGGGCTTTCGTAGAATATGAAGAATTATGAAGATCTGCATAACCACTCAGCCTCATTTATTATTTACTATACCCGCCATCCTAGACTCTTGGCGTATGACGGGAAAAAAGCAATGTCACGTAGTTTCTCAAGGGGCAAAGAACCTTTTATCTTAAAGACGATAATGGCAAGTTATGGGTGGAAGTGATCATTGTTAAATTTTTTGTATGCAGTAATAACCGTAGATGTCCTCACTGCACAGGGGCACTCAACGGCAATTTTCGGGAAAATATCTGTTCGGAAGACGATTTGCGATCTAGAATTTTCGGAGCATTTGTTGTAAAATTTCTTGCTTGCCTGCCTCTCCTAGGATTTTCGAAGATCTACAAAATGGTATAATTACCCATTTTTAACGGATTTTGACCCTAAGAAAGGCCACCTAGAATCTTCGGGAGCCTTTTCCTGGCTGAAATTTTCGAGAAGGTAAGTTTTTATCCCTATAATTTTCGGATCACTAGACTTTCAGCTAGGAAATCCGAACAGATGAAAAGTTTTTAGGGGATAAAAACATGCCTATATCTACCGTTTGAATACTAAAATACGTTTAACAATGCTATGTTAAGTGGTTTTGAACTATATCCTCGTTGGGTGCCCCTGACTGCAAACAATAATGACGTAAAAATTGGCGAAACTCGAACTGTTCATTTTGTACTGACTATTAAATCGTCGTCACGTTTTGAGAGAATAAAAAAAAACGAAAAAAAAAACCAAACAAACAAATTTTATTACTTGTTTGTCCCCCTGAAATACCTTCACGTGACAATGCTTTTATTCCAAGAATCCTAAAGCACTAGCAGAGATGGCGGGTGGTGAATAAGGTATACTAAGGAAAGTTTATTGTGTTACGACAAATCACCAAAACGATAAAGGCACGAGCGTAAGCCACAATACTTCAAATCATTAAAGGCTTTTATCTTCTCTTGCTCAAACTACTAAAAATGGATTCATTTGGAACGTACGCTTATAGCCATCGCATCTATACGGTCCTATACATGTCCTTAAACCAATCCATCCTGAGTCTCACATACCTCTTTCACGTATCAACCTCTTATACTTTAAAGAAGTGGCTAATAGTCTAGTCTGCTACACAGCCTTTTTTAGTGTCGGTACACAACGCTCCTCCCCACAGCTTTGCGTGACGACACTAAAAAACGGCTGTGTAGCAGACTACTCATAGTCCGGAATAGTTAAATGACCTTCAGGTCTGATGTTTGCTGAAGTGTGTAAATTGTGGGGAGTCATCTCTGCAATGTGGCCAGAATCTCACCGCCATGCGTAAAGTTAATCACTTCCAGAGTGGCTGCGCCATGAATAGAAGCCTGTGTGAGCAGATGCCTTTTTGGCTTCTGTTTCACATGTAGGCTTGATTATCATCCGCTATCCGGCAAAATAAGCCCGTGCTCATTTCCCCAAAAGAGCTAGCCTGTTCCAGGCGGTTAACGTTAGATAACATCAAGTGAAGCCAGATTGGACACCTTATGAATTTTACACAACGCATTATTTCCATAATGGAACGAGACTGGAATCTGAGATTGAGGCAAGTTATGGAGAGATCACAGTAGCGAGTTAAGCACTGATCTCTAGTGATTAGGGTTAAGCACTGAACTGAAAACGGTTAGGTTTCAAATATTGTAATGGGGTACGGCATAAGAACATGTATATTTTAAAAATTATTGGATTTGGCAGCTAATCCTCGATGGTGTAGTGGTTATGGATGTAGGCTATAAAGCAAGTGACCCGGGTTCAAAGCATTACAGTGGATTTTTTCTATTTCATTTTATATTACACAGTAAAGTTGGACTTAAGTTGTTCTTCATGTAATTTTACTGAAAGAAACAATCTGACTTCAGCCGATGTTATCTAAGGCTCCAAGATAGTCGGGTCCGCGGAATTGAGAAAGCGCGAACACAAAAAAAAAACATCAAAAAAGCGGTAGGAAACTGGGGAGAGGATAGCAGGGGCGGGAGACGGCGGAAATCGAGCCGTCGAGAAAAGAGCCTTTCAGGTGAAGAGAAGCGACAAACGGATTTAAGGTTTCGTTCGCAGACTACCTGGCTTTTAATTTCGCCCCTCTTTCCCTCCCACGTTAAACCCTCCTCCAACAAATATGCAGAATGTGGCACGTTTCGCAAACAGAAGCCTCTACTTCGAATATCTGAATTAAAATAGCCAACTGTAATCCCTCCATAGGAATCAGAGATTCTTGTAGTTGCGATCTTTTTAGTTCATCAATCCGGCTGAATAGCTCTTGGAGACAAAAACTTTCAAATATTTCATCGTATCTCGCGCGTTTGGTGCATGCTTCTTATATCCAAGGACGAGACGTGGAGGGAAAAAAGCTTGCCTTTACGATACCTTTTCTCCAAAATACCTTGCCAGATTAGTTGCCAGCAAAATAAATACACATGCTTTCTTTAAGCCGGTTTGTAAATTTCCGAAGATTATCAGAAGTCTAAAACAATTAAATCCACTTTAAAAAATTCTTTTATAAAGACTTTGTGAAATGTTTCTACCACAGTGCTAATCTGAAGGAGACAATGACGTGATTTTGCTGTTGTTTTTTTGTTTTTGCAGTGAAAGTGGAGACTACGAGCAGTCTCTCCTCGACGCTCGCGCGCGCATGTACTCCCCTCACTAAATCTAAAGAAGAAGAGGGAATGAGCTAGTGTTGTATCATATACCGTTTACTCCCAGTGGCGGAGGGAAGGGGGGCATACTTCCTAGTAGTAGGCTAACGGGTATGTGCCGCTGGATTGGGTCGCATTTTCACGAATGGATTGACTATTATGGGGTCGCATTTTTATAAGAGTTACTAGAATGGGGTCGCACATTTTCAAAAAATTCAGGTGTGTGGTAGCCTGCGAACGGCAGACGTTTCTCCTCTCTCATCGCCGCTGAGAGACGTTTCGAACCGTCTCAGCGGCGATAAGCGAGGAGAAACGTCTGCCGTTCGCAGGCTAGGTGTGTGGGGATTTTAAAATAGAAAGATTTACACCACTTTAAGTTTAACAAATGTGTCAGTTGATTCCAGGATGACCTAGTTTAAAGGCTTTAAAAAGTAGATGCATAACAGAAAGTGACTTAGTTGGGATTGCGAAAATTTCCTTTTTCCCAAAGTGACTAAGATGGGGTCTATAATATGGCCACAGAATAGACTATAATGGGGTGCTGAGAGGCCCCCCCCCCCGGGGGCGTTTACTTTGAAATAAAATTGGGAATGAAAATCATCAGCTCTTTTTTCTTCACCGTTGTCTGCATGGTACTACGCTTAAAACATCTTAATGAAGTATGAAGTTAACATACAGTACTTTTAAAACCCTACTGTTCCTTTATAATAGTGTTGATTTTGTTCTAAGTTATGTCGATTGGATCATATTACTATTGTTTTTTTATTCATTGTTAACCGGGAAATACTTGATTTTGTCTATTTTATTTTTGGGCAGTGCAGAAAATACTCCCTCAAAGGATAGCGTACGAATACAAGTATAGCCGCAACGCTTGGTTTCTGTAATTTGGCGGCATGTTAATTTTTGCTTTTTTATTGAGCCGGCCATCATTCCACATGTGGTTTTAACACCTGTAAATCTTCCGTGAAGACATTTTCCTTGACATTTTCAAGATACATGTTATTAAAAAGCGGCGTGCGATTGCTTTATTTAAATTGTCTACAATTAACCAGAAAAACCGATCAGTGGTTTAGGAATTTAGTCTAGTATAGGATTAAAACTAGAAAATCTGGGATTGATAGGGATTATTGGATGCTAGTTGTACAGATCAGAGCCGGCGGGACTTGCTCCGAAAAAGGGTAAGGTTACAACATCTGCAATATCATTGTCATCACTCAAAAAATACAATAAGCATCGAGTGCCCCTTTCCGCGAAACACTGCTTTAAACAACTTACACGTGTATCGGTCTCAGTCTGCTAGTCAACTGGTTCATTATGGCCATGTCGCTCGTAATCGTCCCAGCAGCCGTTCTTTTCTGTGTTTTGGCCTCCGTTTTGTGGATTTTGCGGAGGAGTAGGGAACACAGGCTAGCTATAGATGGGAAGTACGTTCTAATAACTGGATGTGATAGTGGATTTGGTCGGGAAACGGCCATTTGCTTGGACAAGATGGGAGTAAATGTGCTGGCAACTTGCTTGACCAAAGAAGGAGAAGAGTCTTTGAAATCAGTCACAAGCAAGAAAATGAAAACGTTTTTGATGGACGTTACGAATTCCCAGCAAATTGGAGAGGTCTTTGATAAAGTGAAAGAAGTTATTGATGATAATTCAGGTAAAGTGAACAAAATATATAATCAATCTAATCAGTGCTCTGTTGGCTTAACCAATTTTACCAGATACCTCGTCATGTAAAAATCGGCAGTGCTTCGGAACCCCAGCTTGGGGCAATCCGAACACTATGAAATAGGGAATAAATTCATTTCTTCACAGAATAACCCAAATAATCTTAAGACAGGATATTTTGCATTCATTATTCTGTAAAATTCCCGTTGAGAAGTTAAGGTACAAGTAATACGTTAATTGCTTCCGGTTTATCAGAGTGTTTTTTTTTTTGCGGTAACACCGCTACTCTTCCGCCGCTAAATAGTTCCCTAATAAAGAACCCAGGCAACACTGACGTCAATCAAAAAAGCAACAACATAAACAACAAAGATGCAATTTTATGCAGATAATCCAGTCTGTTGTCACTGGCCTGCCTCTCCTAGGATTTTCGAACATCTACAAAATGGTATAATTAACCATTTTAAACGGATATTTACCCTCAAAAAGGCCACCTAGAATTTTCGTGAGCCTTTTCCTGGCTGAAATTTTCGAAAAGGTAAGTTTTGATCCCTATAATTTTCGGATCACTAGACTTTCAGCTAGGAAATCCCAATAGATGAAAAGTTTTTAGGGGATAAAAATATGCCTATATCTACCGTTTAAATACCAAAATACGTTCAACAATGCTATGTTGAGTGGTTTTGAACTATATCCTCGTTGGGTGCCCCTGTGTTATTAGAGATGTCGAAGGTAATCAACTGAAGAAACAAGAGCGACTTGATCCGGCCGCCCGCTTTCTCCTCTCGCTCCTCGCCGCTTGGGACGTGCCACGAAACGTCTCTAGCGGTCTCCAGCGGCGTTCGGCGAAGGGAGATGAAAACCAAAATAAAACAAAACAATGTTTTTGGTTCAGCCTTTATAGCACGCTAGTTCAGCCCCCAGCGAAGGTTAAAGGTAGGGCACAAAGAATATTTGTCATCTATTTTTCAGTTTAAGAGGATTAAATTAACTGCAAAAACCATGGACGAAGATCCTGCTAGCTGTAAACGTTGGATCTCTGGAAAAGAGATCTAATCAGCCAAAATATAAAGAACCAAGAACGAGAAGTCCAAAGACTACTGCAAAGCTGATTTCAAACAACGTGTATTGTTGTTATAACGGCCAGCCGAAATATTGTTATAAAAAACAATACATGTTGTTTTAAATCAGCTTTGACCTCTCGTTCTTGATTTTTCAGTTTGGATTTTCCTTTTTTCGTCGCCCAGAGGATCAATTTGCAGTTGTTTTTTGAGCTGTATCCACCTGCCGGGCCACTGGACTCATTGGTTTGTAGTTATGGTTTTGCTGTTCTGTATTCAAACAGGAGCTCCAGATTCAAAGTAACTGTTTTTACAAGTATTGCAGAATGGGGCTCTCTCTTCTTTTCCTTTTGTTGCTATCGAGGGAACATGTTTCAGAATCCTCTCTCCTCCAATTAAACTCCTTGTGAGAAAATTATTGCGTCATTGTGGCGGGAAAACTCGTCACGTGATCTGAAAACTGAACTTTGCACAAGAGTCTTGGAACTGTGTAGTCGTTCGGAGTCGTGGAGCTGATCGAATGTGTAGATTGAGTGTAGATCATCGCAATTTTTACGCGAATTGATGTCGATGAATTCTTTAAGTGTAGAACATAGTACAGAATTCTAAAATATGAACATGTGAAGAAGGAGTGAAGAATTAAAGCTAAATGGAACTGGTTGTATCACACTCACACTGATAAACAAGAAAAAACAAAAAACGCGTTGCATGCAGGCAAATGAAGGGAAAGAGGAAAGAAGAGGAAGGAGGAGTCACCATTGGGTTCTCCGCGTATCTCCTGTTTCTTTCTTCTCTTTCCAAAGACGCCTGACTTCAGAGTGGCCACGAAGGATGCCTTTGAGAAGGAGAGTGCAAATGTGCTAAAACAAAATTAATCGTTTTATTGCCACAGGTCTTTGGGGACTGGTAAACAATGCCGGGGTCTTGTGCCTCGGGCCTGTCGAGTGGGTACCCCTGACCCACTATAAGAGAACAGCGGACGTCAATTTATGGGGAATGATAGACGTGACCAAGACTTTCTTGCCACTCGTTAAGACAGCCAAGGGAAGAGTCGTCCTTGTTAGCAGTATAGCAGGTAATAAAGAAATATTAATTAAATAAATAACGATTTACATCGCTCCATGTAAGGGAATCCAAGATTGTGTTGGATTCTGGATTCCACGCCGATTCCGGATTCAAGGTACTGGATTCCAGTTTTTGTCAGTGGAACTTGGATTCTGGATTCCAATCATTAGTGCGATTCCGGATTCTTTGAGCTGTATTCCGGATTCCAAAACCCAGGAGTCCGGATTCCACATGCAAATTTTTCCTGGATTCCAGATTCCACAAACAAAAATTTCCCGGATTTCTGACTCCCCAAGCAAAAATACATGAAATCCCGAATCCGGAATCGTGATTTCGGATTCCCTCACATGGGGCGATTAAGACGTAGCACATCCACTAAGTGGTTCTTCTTCTACTGATTCCGGCCAAAATTGGAATTTGAAAATGTTGGTTTTTAAGACGAGGGGGAAATAGTGTAGTACCCGGAGAAAAACCTCTCGGAGCAAAGGAGAGAACCCAACTCAACTCACATATGGCGTCGACTCCGGGACTTTAACCCGGGCTTCACTGGTCAGAGGCTAGTGCTCTCACTACTGCGCCACCCTTGCTTCCCAAGGGAAACTTTCATAGTAGGACTGGTTGAATGTCTAAATACACCTTTCCAGTTCTCTTTTTACAATAACAGAGCGAATCCTCGCGCGCTGATTGGTCGAGAGCCATGGTCTAGGAGAGTATAGACCATGGAAATGACGTAATATGTCACGTAGTGCCGCTTGTTTTGTTTTTGGTTTTTCGCAAAAAAATAAATGTTATTGTAAAAAGCAAATCGACCACAATTTTCTAGGTTCTACACTCATAGACCATAGAGATTACGCCATAAAATGTTGAAAACTTTGTCGTGAAACCACTCGCCTGCGGCTTGTGGTTCCACTTGAGTTTTGAACATTTTATGACGTCATTTCTATTGTCTACATGAGTGATTGTGGTCGATTTAGTATTGGCTATTTCAAAGCTTGAGCTTGGAGTTTGGGTGGGTGTTACGTTCTGACGATTTGCACTATGGGACAGGTTTGGGGACGCTAAGGCTTTTATATTGGATATCACAAACTTGCACGGAAGATTAAGTAAAAATTAATCCCCGAAACAAATTCATGGGAGAACTCTATTTAATAAAGACCCTGTCTGATGTGCAACCTCAAATTATGAAGTAAAAAACATACTACACGCACTCTGATTGACTGAGAGGTGTGTTTCCATGACAGTGTGTAAAATACGCGTACAAGACTTCGTGTATAACTTCGCAATTTGTAAGAATTTTCCTTTTAATCCGCACCCATAACAAAAAGATTTGCTTCCGAGTGTTCTTGAGGACTTAGCTAGCGTATGCTGATTGCATGCCAGTATCAAACCGAACTCGTTGGGCAGAATTTTGCCTGTTCCCTCACAAAAGCTACCCCTATAGAATACATAGGGGAATATATTCCCCTATAGAATATTCCCATTAGCGGAATATCCCCCTTTTCTACCCCTATAAAATTGAGTCGTCTTTGTTTGTTAGTTTGATGATGTGGTTTTGATTTATCTATACAAAGGAGTGGTTTCAGCTCAAGTATTCTCGCCGTATTGTGTCACTAAATATGGCGTGGAAGCTTTTGGAGATTCATTGAGACGAGAAATGCGCCCGTTTGACGTACAGGTCAGCGTTATTGAGCCGGGCGCCAAGCGAACCCCGCTCTTACAGAAATCTGAGGTTTTGACAGACGGTCTTAAAGCACTATGGAACAAGCTTTCAGAGGAGAAAAAAAGGGAGTACGGCAAAGACTATTTTGAGGACGGTAAGAAGTGATTTTATTTGGGTGTTGTTAGGGGTATGCTCTGCCTAAAAGATTGAGGTACCAATTTAACTGCAACTAAGGTCACATATCAAAATGAAACACGTTTTGAAAACCAGACGTTTCGGCTACAACTTCGACCACTCTTAGTGTGGACAGGCTTCTCGCCCTGTTCTTGGGATTAAGATATTGACAAGCTGTAACACTGAAGCGAGTTCGTGTAGTCATTGCCTGTTGCTGGTTAAGCGCTTCTTTGATTGTTTTGACCTGGTTTTTTAGTTATCACATCGCCATTGATTATAGCTATAATCGTAACAGTACTTTCTGTCGCCATTTCAGTATTCTCTTATACGAAAATCGTCCTTAGATTTCGCCACCAACAAGCCAGCGTACATACACACGACATTGTTCCCCCAAAACACTCGAGCGTAGGAGGATTTTTAGTGCACTTCTGACAGCGTTACCAAAAGACTGTTGTTAGCATAGCTGACCTATTGATTTATTTCATATATCATTAACACTCATTTCTTTCACGGGAACATATGAACCCACAATTGACCTGCTCCCAACATCACCTTTATGCAGGCTGGGCGAAAAAAGCGGCTCTTTCTCCTGGTACCGTCATCACAAAAGAATCAAAGGAACCAAACAATAGAGGTCTCCTGGGGGCTGTATTGTTTCGTTGTATCGTTTCTTTTGTTGTACGTAATATGTGCCTCGGTACATACAGTAGGAACAAAAAATGTTAGGGTTCGCTTTGTTTGAAAATTGAAACTAACCTTCGCGTATACTAATTTGAAATAACCCAAGTATTTAAAGAAAACCTGAAAAAATTCAATCTTGACCGCGGGTTTCGGATCCTAACCGTTGCAAAGACCAGACGCATGATAAGCTACAAGAGACGAGGACGACTAATATAAGAGGACAACGAGAAAGAGATTTCTCAATACTCGCGGTGCGCTTGAACCTGCAACCTCATTTTTGGCGGGAAAAACGTGATAGCCGTCCTCAAAAAAAGCAAGCCATTTGCAATAAGAGGTCATGTGACTTCGTTTTTATGAAAATAGAGGTTATATGATTTTGCCTTCGAAAAACGATTAGTGAGTCTTATCTTAAATAAAATAATGGTGATTTGTGTTTTCAAACCCACACCATTTTCTTAAAATGAGTAAGTGTCTGTTGGAAAGATGATGTGGTAACGTTTACAGAACATCTGAGCGTAACTTTCAAGATGTAGGCAAAAAGTAGTTTTGGCCGCGATGTTGGAGGGCATATAACATGGCGGCCAATACAAATCATACTGCTTTGTTGAAAAATCAAAGTGCCATAAAATATCTTCCTTAAACGCATTTCCTCTCAAATTTTGGGTGTAACTATAATTTCTATGTGCCCTGTCAATTTTTGGCATCAGCAAGATTCCAACTTACCGTTAAAAGGAAACATTGGTCACGTGACGTCTTAGTGCGTGTGGCCTATTCCGGGTTTCTGGTTTTTGAGGAAAAGCGAAAAAAAAAACTTTGAGTCAAATCTAACATGCTCGTAGACCCAGGGGCGGTCGTCATTCAGGTTGGGACTGACGGAAGTGAAAGTGATAATTAAAGAATAAATGCAAGTGAGTTAGGGACAGATGTTACGGGCTGATGTGTTAACCAAGCTTCCGGTCTTACTTAGAATGACAATTTGATGACGCTCAGCAATAGTTTAAGCCGTTCCAATAATTCACGCGCGGAGACCCTTAACTGGTGAACTAGTGCAACGATGCTAGGGCTTTTGTTTCGTATACGATCATGCATCACACTAGAAGCCTCTAAACAGGTATACACTTCAACTCGTGCAGCCATTATTTGACTATGCTAATGTTGTGTGGGGGAAAATCTTAGAGGGGTGATGCAAACAGCTAGGTACAGCGCGTAAAGAACTGTGCAGCTCGAATTGTATTACGGAAGAACAACTCAAATGACACCTACCGTGCTTGTGCTTAACTGGTTAAATCTAGCTTCCAGAAGGAAAATTCACAAATGTAATCTAGTTTTTAAGTGCTTAAATAAACTGGTGTCCAAGTATCTTACTCAATATTTTACAAGGAATGCAGATTTGCACGATTTTGCAAACAACAAAAGCCTAAACCTGCAAACAACAAAGCCTAAACGTAACATGGGCAAAAGAACTTTGAAGCACAAAGGGATTATATATTTCAATTCTTTACCCAATTGTGTTAAAAGAGCCATGTCTGTAAATAGTTTTAAAACTATGATGATTATAATTAAGTATTTTACCCTATAACTTTAATTTCTTATCTCTTAGCACACACTTTTTATATTGACTTAGCTAGATTTTTATATTATTATTGCTGATTTTAATCATGTACATACCTTAGGAATTTTAAATTGTATACATCTTTTTTTTTTCTAAGGCATACTAGCCTCGTTGCCGAATGAGCTACCCTAATAAAATTACTTAATTACTTTACTCAGTACTAACAGTCTCGCTAAAGAGAGTTTGCTTCATGGCACAGTCAATTTTGATAGTGTGTACCCCTCCCTTGCTGGGCATTTTTTGATGGGCCCCACGGCTTTCTACCGAAGTGACTCTACCACTTGGCAACTTTTCATAGTAGGAGCGACTTTCTGCTGGAAAGAGAAAGTACCACCCTGGCTCTTACTTCCGTCTGAAATGCGATAGAAGTGAGGCCAGGTGTTGGACTAGAATTATACTACTCATTATTACTCATTAAATCTCTTCACAAATACAGATAAGGCAGCAAGGATGTTCACTGAAGTTATTAAGTTGTTAAGCCTGAAGTTTTTTATGGTCTTTACCATTTTTCTTTTTATTGTCAGTGACAAGGGGAGTCAAGGACTGGTGTAGTGCAGCATCTAATGACGTAAAGCAAGTCGTCGATTCTATTGTGAGCTCTCTGACGTCACAGACTCCTAAGTCACGCTACGTTATTGGCCGTGACGCATGGCAGCTGAAACTGAGTGCTCATCTTCCTGAATCATGGCAAGACCTGCTTCTCAAAGATTTCCCCTTAAAACCCATGGCAGTTCGTCAGTAATTTGAAAGATCGATTAAATTTAATGAAGAATATTGTTATTCAACGACTGTAAAATACAAGGCACTTCAAATAATTTTAAAGCCCCTTTAGAACCGATGAATCTTAATATCAGGTTGATTAACTAAGCACATGCTTCAAAGAATAATACCAACCTACTTGGGGCACCTGTAAAATAAGTTTTAATCAGTTTTTATTTACCTTATTACATGAAATTTTTGCGACACGTCAATTAGTGATTTCGAAAAATCCTTGCATAGGGGCACCTTTAATTTAGCGATTTTTCGTAACTTTTGGAAGTCCCTTAATTTTCGCGATTTCACAAACTAAAATTTTGGCGAATTAAGGGTTCAAAACTTTTACGACGACAATAAAACATTTATGTGATAAAATGATAAACGATAATAGCTTCATTTAATTCAAAATCATACAACGTTCTCTAACTTTATCTTGAACGGAAAAAAAACGAAACTGCAACCGTAATCGATTCGGTCATATCTTAACGCTGTCCTCATCACTCATTTTTAAGGTACATTGTCACACAAATTCAGTGGTACACACCATAATTGTCCGTCAAATAGCGTATTTGTGCATGAAACTGACTAGATGGTGGAATTTCATATTGTACTCACTTTAATTTAACGACGATTTAAATTTAGCGACACCTAATTTTGGTGCATTCTAATTTAGTGATTTTTCTAAAAATCGCTGAATTCGCTAATTTCAGGTAATAAGGTATAGCTCTTTTTATATATCGACAATTCACCATTTTTATGTTGTTTCAATTTGCATTTTCCAGGAAAATCATTTTTTCAAAGAAAATGAAGATTCAGAAAAAAATAATAATCGATAAATAAAGAGAAACTGAACACTTCAAGTCAAAATATTAAAAAAAGAAGTCAAATGCTGCCCCAATAGATCCATTTTAACGATTCTTTTTCTAATGTATACCCATTAACCTGTTGTTATACCATCTATAGGTTTTTGTTAGCTTTCAAATTAATAAAAAGCCTCTGTGTGATGAGAATTCTGAAGCATTTTCATTAGTGACTTTTTTGGCATGGGTGGCCGAGTGTTTATATATAGTGGAAAAAAATGGAACAATAAGGTGGATCATTTTAGGGGAAAACGAATGCATGATGTGTAAAATCCTAGTTGGCAACTACAAAATAACGAATAAATAAAACTACAAAAATGTGTCAGAAACATACCGGTATGAAGGTAATGGTCTAAACATCACGTGACTGTATTCCAGGCTCCAAGACAGTTTGTGTAGCGTTCTGTTTCCCGTCACCGCCCCTCTTTTCTCAGAGAGTAAAAGCTATCCTTTTGTTTATACTTTCTGTTAATGATTTACCGTTTGGGCTTGAATGTCAAACCAGATTATTTGCTTATGACTGCCTTATTTATATATCCATTACCTCTGCTCCAGATATGGACAAACTTCAATCTGACCTAAGGAAACTATAACTAAGGCAGAACACCTGGCAGATGGAATTCAACCCAGAGAAATATATGTTTCATTATGGGTATATCAAAACAGAGGAATCCGCCTTTTAGAGAATATACTTTCTGTAACACTACCTTAGCATATGTTGAAAAGCACCCCTATTTGGGAGTCACCCTGGATGCAAATCTGAGATGGAATCACCATCTTCATGAATTATCCTCTAAAGCTACCAAGACCTTAAATCTGATCAAAAGAAACTTCTGGTTTTGCGATGAGGATACCAGATGTCTTCTGTGCAAGACTCTTGTTCGACCCAGTACTCAGTACTAGTCTGGGACCCGCACTATCTATGTGATGTAAATAAACTGGAAACTATTCAAAGGCCAGCTGCTCGTTTTTGTAAGGGGGATTATAAATATTCTTCAAGTGTAACTTCTATGATAAAAGGTCTGGAATGGGAACCCCTGGCCTCTCGCCGCAAACAAGCTCGCTTATGCAAAATGTACAAA